CTACTACTACTACTACTACTATTACTACTACTACTACTACTACTACTACTACTACTGCTGCTGCTGCTGCTGCTGCTGCTGCTGCTGCTGCTGCTGCTACTACTACTCCTGCTACGACTACTACTACTACTACTACTACTGCTGCTACTACTACTACTACTACCACTACTACTACTACTACTACTACTACTACTACTACTACTACTACTACTACTACTACTACTACTACTACTACCACCGCTACTGTTACACCTACGACGATGAGGAGAAGGAGGAGGACGGCGTTTACCGCTCCTACTAATCTTGCTCTCTTAGAGGCTCCAGCTCCTAGGTAGGGTCGCACTGGGATAATTTTTAGCGCACCTGAGTCGAGCGCACGCGAGTGCGACCGTTCGTCGGAGAAACCTTGGGTGCAGGCTCACTTGCTCACTAGGGCTCCTCGACGCCCGAACGCGAGGCGCGAGACAGCGACTTGCGATCTTGGTTTTGACACCCCCGCGCCCTCCTAAAGTCGCGCACCAACGGCCATTCTTGCTGCCCAGGGTCACCCCTGCGTCCAGCCGGCAGAAAGGTGGAAACACCCCCGGCTAGATATGCTGAGTCTCTGGACGTTGTGGTCCTGGTTTTTGCCGAGCGGCGGTCTGGTGGTCGTGGCCCCCTCCGCGGCGAGGAGCGCAAGCTGGACGCCGCTGCCAACACCAGGTCGCCCGACGCTCCCACTCCCGCCGCGCCGATGGTCGGGGCCTGGGAACCCAGGCCACATGGAACAGAGGGATGATCGGATATGGCCAGGACCCCGGGTAAGGAGTAAGGGGAGCTGGTTAGCGATTGGCCCACGAAGCAAAACAAGCATGGCCAGAATCATTGAACCAAGTCTGCCGCAGTTGGTCTTTCTTCGGGTGGCGACAGGTCTGGTCAGTGGGATGGGATGGGGAGGGAGGAGGAGGAGGAGGAGGAGGATGAGGAGGAGGAGGAGGAGGAGGAGCTCACAGGAGGAGGGAGGAGGACGAGGAGGGGGAGGTGGTAGAGGCAGGGGGGGGGGGGTGATAGAGGGAGGAGGGAGGAGGAGGGAGGAGGAGGAGGAGGAGGAGGAGGAGGAGGAGAGGAGGAGGAGGAGGAGGAGGAGGAGCAGGAGCTCACAGCAGGAAGATCTCGAAGAGGTGGCATCTGCACAGACCTAAGCTCTTGGAGGTCCGCGCGGGTGTGCGTGCGGTCGGCGTTGGGCCCCCCCCCCCTGGCGGAGCCTGGGCGCCGCCCCCTTGTTCGCGGAGTGCGCCCAGGAGTGGGGTCCAGCGTACGGTAGGTTCGCGTCGTGTCGACTCGTCGCGACCCCGCCGCGGGCGTTCAAGGTTGAACGCCGCCAGTGGCCCAGAATCGTCCTAATATGGAACGATCTGGCAATCGATAAGCCGCCGATCGTTCAAGGTTGAACGATCAACGCGATGTCAGAAACCAACGCGTGAAAGTGCGCCCAGGAGTGGGGTCCAGCGTACACCTTAGGCGATGCTGAAGAAAACTTAAGTTTTCGGCCAGCGTCTCGATTATTCTTAACGCTTCAATGCAGATCTTAAGATTTGAACAGAAATGTTGGGTTTTTATTCAAGTTCTGAGACTCTAAGTTTCTTCACCCATGATTTCTTAAGCATTTCGCAGGGTGTAGATCCAAGAAACCCGCGCGGACGCTCGAAAGCTATGTGTTTGCAGTTCGTTGCTCTTCGACCCAGGCATCCAGGATCGAGGTGCATCACTCTCGGGGCTCTGGAGGTCTCCGTGGGCCCCCAGGAACCGCTCAGGATCTTCGTGGAGTGTCTGTCGATGGACAGGACGGCGGCGATGAGGGAGTCCAGTGGGGCAAAGGAACGTTGAACGGGGGCAGAAAGAAACGGGGAGCGAGGGGAGAACTAGAGAAGGAAGTAACGGGGACGGAAGGGGAGGATGAGTGAGGAAGGAATCATGAGGTATAACGGATGAGGTAGCGGGGATGTGGGAGGTGTGATGAGGCATGAGGCAGCAGGAATAAGGACGCAGGGAGGATGAGGGCAGGGAGGAAGGATAATGATGATGAGGAGGAGGCGGGCAGGGGTAAGATGAGTTGGAGGAATTGAGGGAGGTGGACGAGTTGGAGGGAAGTGTGGAAGAGGAGGAGGAGGAGGATTAGGTCAAGGAGGAAGGAGAGGAGGATGCACAATGGTAAGAAGCGGAGGTGGGTGAGGGAAGGAAGCCAGGATGGGGGAGGGGAGGGAAGAATACGGGGGGAGGAGGGGTGCGGGAAGGGGAAAGACATGACGGGAGAGAAGTGGAGATGAGGGAACCCAGTCATCGCAGTCATGAGGAGCACATTCACACATTCACACAGTCACATATTCGCACATTCACACAGTCACACATTCACGCATTCACACATCCACACATGCACACATTCACACATGCACACATTCACACACCCACACATTCACGCATACACACATACCCACACTCACACATGCACACATTCACACACAGACACATACACATACACATACACATACACATACACATACACATACACATACACATGCACATGCACATGCACATACACATGCACATACATTTGTGTATTTGTACATTTACACACACGCATCCCAGGGTCACAGGGGAAGAGGCTCCCGAGGCGTAGACCCGGCCTCCTCAATGAGAGGACCCGGGGACGCGAGGGGGCCAGAGGGCTCCAAGATGACCCAGAAATTCCGCCCGAGCCGGTCAAGAGGGGGCTCAGCGGGGGAACCCGCCCCAAGATGGCCCCAAGAGCCCCCCCAGAGGCCTCCTAGGCGACCCCGAAGAGGCCCCAAGAGTTCCTCACGAGGCCCCAAGAGGCCCCAAGAGGACCCCCAAGACAGGCCCAACGGGTCCAAAGCAGTCCCAGCCTTTCCCCGGGACCAGCTTTTCCTTCTGCGCCGCTCTCTGGCGGTCCTTGGGCCCACGGACGGCCTGTGCGGGCCCGAAGACTATGCAAAAGACGCCCCAGGACCCCCCCCGTGCTTCATGGCGAGAGGCGGAGATGGCAGAGGTTCGGAAGCGGCCCTAGTCCGGCCAATCGTTCGCGGTTGTCGGGGCTTGCGCTCGCGTGTGCCGCCGCGGGACAGGTACGTGGTGATGCGCGTCGGCAGCGAGGCAGATGGCCACGAGGAGGACTGGTCGGTTCGCGCGGGGTCTGTTCCGATCCGACTGATCTGGTTGGATATCGATTCCAGTCGGCTCGGTTCGACTCCGTTCCCAATTCCAATCGCCCGACGATCGGAGAAGTCTGCATCAACGTACTGTTTCTGCGGTCCGCGCGGATTTCTTGGATTGGCGGTGGGCCACCCGGTGGCGCCTCCTGCGCCGCCTTTGGCGCGCCGAGCGCGCCAGGAAGAAGGATGGATGCGAGGACCGAATGTTTTTTCCTGTGGCGCCTCCAGGACGCTTGGCTGAGTTTTGCCTGGTGCGTGTCGTCGTCACCGTCGGACTCCCCACGATCTCCCTTCCCAGTCGCACCTGCGCGCAGAAGGGGGGTGGGGGAAGGGGGCAGGGCTTCTTAGAAGCACCCCTGCTTCTAAGAAGCCCTCCCCCCTCCCTCCACCCCCTTGTGCGCACCGCCAACAATCGCATCCCAGGGGAGGCCTGGGAGTCGTTTTCGAGCGGTGGCGGCGCGCCCGAGGGGCGGAGACGAGCGGGGCGGGCGGTCGTCCGAGGAAGCAGATGCGGTCTCCTGCTTCCCCCTCGTGCCCTCGAAGAGGTCCTCTTAGGAGCCCACTCGTCGTAACTCGCATTGTCTCGCTAATCGTGCGCATGCTTGCGTGCAGGCCATGCGCACAGATTTCAGGAGGCCACGGCCTCCCCCACCAGCTCTGGAATGGCCCGGACAGCCTTCCGCAGTGGTGGTTCGTTCCTTCGTTCGTTCTCTTATGAGCCCCCTCGTGCCTTCGAAGAAGCCCCCTGTGCCTCTGCGCCGTGCCCTATCGGGCACGGGCGGGTTCCCCACTGGAGCGCGCACGACTCCGGCGCTTCGCTTCTCCTCGCTTCTTGTGAGCCCCCGAGCCCCTTCCCAGAAACCCTCCGCCTTCACGCCGCCCCACTCGCTCCAATCCCCGACTCCCGACCAAGATCCTCCCAAGGCCGATTCTCGCAGGTGATTCTTCTCCCCCGATCCCCGAGTTCTGCCCGCTCAGAAACAGAGGGGGGGAACCCTGGGATACACCCCAAGGGGGCTAGAGCGTGATTCTTTTCGTTAACGTTAAGGCCCCCGGCCCCCGGCCCTCTCCTATAACGTAAGGCCCCCCCCCCCCTCCCCAGTGCGCCCCGGGCACTGCCGCCGTGCGCACATCGGGATCCGCATAGGCGTCCGCGTAGGAACCCACATGTGGGGTCTGGTCCGCACTGGGAATTTCATGGGGATCCGCATAGGGATGCGCATGCGGATCCGCACGCATAGGGATCCGCGTGAGGGTCCGCATGGGGATTCGCTCGCATAGGGATTCGCATGGCAATGCGCATGGGCATCCGCATAGGTATCCGCATCGGGATTCGCATCGGGATCCGCATAAGCATCCGCATAGGGATCCGCGCAGGGATCCGCATAGGGGTCCGCCTAGGGATCCGCATGGGGATCCGCACTGGGATCCGCATAGGAATCGGAAATTGTGATTTTGTATTTAAAGCTTCGCCTCCTCCTCCTCCTCCTCCTCCTCCTCCTCCTCCTCCTCCTCCTCCTCCTCCTCCTCCTCCCCCTCTCTCCTCCTCTCCCTCTTTCTCCTCCGAATCGCCATTTTACCCACCCCCCTGGTCGTCGTCGTCGTCGTCGTCGTCGTCGTCGTCGTCGTCGTCGTCGTCGTCGTCGTCGTCGTCGTTCGTCGCTCGTCGTTCGTCGCTCGTCGCTCGAAGTCGTCGTGCGCGCGGACGGCGCTGTGGTGCTGGAGCCACACGGCGGAGGGGGGGCGTTCCGTCATACCCCCCCCCCCGCCCCCCCCCCCCCCCTCCTAGAACGCCCGCTCTCGCCGCGAGGAAGAATGGCCTAGGAGGGACGCCCCCCCCTCGCATACCCCGGGGTTGAGCCCAAGATTTCTGGTCCAGTGTAGAACCCCACGCAGCTTAGACCTGGGGTCGACAGATCCACAGTGAGATCCCCCGAGCCCTCTCGGGGCCCGTCCTGGCCAGGGCTTCCGAGCCGCGCCGAGCCACAGGCGGAGAGGAGCCCCGGAGCACGCCGCAACCTTGGCGCGGACTGCGACGCCCCGCCCCCCTTGTGCGTGCCGCCCGAGAGGATGCCGCGGCGCCCGAGGCAGCCTCCCAGACCGCCGGGTCTCAGAGATTCTCGATGTATCCTCGCCCGATTTTCTCCTCACCTTACTCGGGCCGGACGAAAGGGGGGGGGAGTGGGAGAGGAGGGGGGTTGCGCAATTTGCTGCATGCAGCCGGTTTCGGCCTCACCGAGGGGCCCACTCCTCGAGACACAGGCCGCCTCCGGCGCCTGGAGGCGCCGGGAGAATCAGCTGCGTGAGCTGATGTTCAAATCCCCCCTTTGCTGTCCCCCCCTTTCTCAGGAGGCAGGAGGGAAAGAAACACACAGACACAATTAATCGGCGATTCCCCAGAAAATATCGGAACATATGGGAAGTGGGGGGGAAGACAAAAAACCAGGAACTGTAGGAACATACGGGGGATCCTCTTATTTGTGTGTGTTTATTTGTGTGTCCCAAGGCCCCTTCACTTTCGCCCGACCCGACCCGACTTATGGGCATCGGGGATTGGTGAAATTCCCGACAATTTTACGACATTCGGCAAACACTATCGAACGACAAAATAAGGTTTGCTTCGATTATAAAACACCGTTACGATAATTTAGCCGATCGAATTCCTGAACTGATCGGATTCATGTAAATGGCAAAAACAAAAGGTTTCGGCTCGAGACGACGTACACTGAATCCCACTTTCGCCCGACCCGAGAGGAGGAGGAGGAGGAGGAGGAGGAGGAGGAGGAGGAGGAGGGGGAGGAGGGGGAAGAGGAGGAGAGGAGGAGAGGAGGAGGAGGAGGAGGAGGAGGAGGAGGAGGAGGAGGAGGAGGAGGCCCCTTCACTTTCGCCCGACCCGAGAGGACCTCGTGCTCTCCGCGGCCACGGGCAGCGACTTCGCGCGGGAGCCGGGGTCGGGGGGAGGCGCCGGCCCTCGTGGGCGGTGGGGCGGGCCTCGCGGGGCGGGCCCCCCTGCGGGGCGTGGCCGCTCGTCTCCGGGGGCGGTCCTGTCCGCGGGATCGCGCCCCGGGATCCAGACCCCTCCTCCTCCTCACTCCTCCCCCCCCCCTCCCCTCCTCCTCCTCCTCCTCCTCCTCCTCCCCCCCCTCCTCCTCCTCCTCCTCCTCCTCCTCCTCCTCCTCCTCCTCCTCCTCCTCCTCCGCCTCCTCCTCCTCCTCCTCCTCCTCCTCCTCCTCCTCCATCCAGACCGCGAGGGCGCGGACAATCGTCGGGGGCGGAAAAAACACACAGACACAATTAATCGTCGATTCCCAGGAAGATATGGGAAAATATGGGACGTGGGGGGGAAGACAAAAACCCAGAAAATATGGGAAAATGTGGGGACCATTTTTCTTTGTGTGTATTTATTTGTGTGTCCTAATTTCCCTTTAAATCGTCGGGGGCGGAAAAGAGGGGGGTGAGGACTAGGGGGGGGGTGCACATCAAGGCGGGGGCCATGATATTTCCCCAGATTTCATGGCGCCTCTTCTCATTTCATTACCTCCCTGGCCCCCCCGCTGGGCCGCGCACATGCCGCCAGTCATGATTTGCACACACCCCTCTTGGACACCCCCCTCTTGGCCGCTCCCGAAATCGGTTCGCCTCTCGTGACTGCTCTATTGATGGGCCCGCTCTAGGCCTCCCAGACGGGGTCGCAGCAGATGGGGTCGGAGGATCGCGCCGCATCGCCGATGCGTCGGCGATGCATCGGCGATGCGGCGCGATTGGGGGCCCAATGTTATCCGGGCCGAAGTCGCCGAGGCATCGCCGACGTCGCCAGTGCATCGCCGATGCATCGCCGATTCATGGGCGATGCATCGCCGATGTATCGGCGATGCGGCGAGATCCTTCGACCCCATCTACTCCGACCCCATCTAGGAGGCCTCTACCCGCGGGGGCGGCAGATGCGCCGGGAGGGTGCGTGCACCAGGTCCTGGCTCCCAGGGCCGACGGGGCCAAAGCTCTTGGGCCAGCCGCAGGGACCACCCGTGTTCAAGCAGTGGCGAAGCGTCCTGGCTCGCCTATAGCCCTACCAGACAATGTTCTAAGAACCTTTGGTGGTTTCCACGAAATGTTCTTAGAACATGTCTGGCGGAGTCTGTCTTGTTTTATCACATCGGGTTTATGTTCTCAGAGCGTTGTTTTTGTTCTTAGAACAATTTTGGGTTCTGAGAACATTTCGTGGTAGGACTATAGGACTGCCGGGACGGTCGGTCCCTGCTCAATGTGTGCCGTCTCAGGGTCTCTGGTGAGCGGGGTACGCGGCTCTTCTTCGTCGTCGTCGTCGTCTTCCGCCTTCTTCTCCTCCTCCGCTCCTTTTTTTCATAGATAATTCCTCCCTGTCGCACCCCGAGACGTGTCCGTATGGCGGGTGGGCGTTTCGCCCGAAACTTCGTCACCATTGATGATTCTGACGCTCAAAATGTGCGATCGTTTCACGGATGGAGGGCGGATCGTTTTCAAAATGTGGTTCCCGCTTTGGCGCCGCCATCTACTTGTTTCCAACAAGTTTGCAAGTGCTTCACGGATGGAGGACGGGCCTTTGACGAATTGTGGTTCCCGCATGCGCGCCGCGCACATTCGTTTTCAAAGTTTGATGCATTTCACTGATGGAGGACGGGCCGTCTTCAACATGTGGTTCTTGCCTTAGCGCCGCGCGCATTCGCTTTTAACATTTGGGATGGTTTCGCGGATGGAGGTCGGTGCTTTTTCAAAATGTGGTGCTCGTTTGGCGCCGCATACATTTGTGCTAAAAGTTGAAAGAATTTCACGTTTTTTGTTTTTAATGTGGTTCTCGCTTTGGCGCCGCGCGCACTAGTTTTGGACGTTGCGAAAATTTCACGGATGGAGGGCGGGCCGTTTTCTGATGGTGCTTCTCGCTGTAGCGCCGCGCACATGAGACGGCGTTCCGGCACGATTTAGGATTGTCAGGGCGCAGAAGTGATGGTATTTCGCGGTGTGGAAGTCCCAGAGACGGTGTTCTGGCATGATGTGATGCAGGATCGTCAGGACGCAAGGGGGCACGTTCAGCAGTGCAAATAAATGCTTGTAGGGACCTACGACGAGGAAACACTGAGGGAGGATTTTTGCTACATCGTTGATGCGCTTTGTGTTTTCACTGGTCCTCCTCCTCCTCCTCCTTCTCCTCCTTCTCCTTCTCCTCCTCCTCCTCTCGGGGGTGTCCCCGTGGTTGGTGAGGAGGGCCAGGGATGTGCGGATATCATGGCCAGGGCTATGAGCGAGGAGGAGGAGGAGGAGGAGGAAGAGGAGGAGGAGGAGGAGGAGGAGGAGGAGGAGGGCCCTGCTGCGCCAACGCGCCCCTCTTCCCAGGCCGCCCCCGTTGGCGCCCACCGCGCCTCGGGGCTCCTCGGCCTCCCCTCGCCCCCTCCACGCCCTCTCCCCTCCCCCCCTCCCCCCCTCCCCGCCCTCCCCCCCTCCTCCTTCCCCCCCCCCTCTCCTCAGCGTCCGCCCTCATCTTCCCCCTCCCTCATCTCCCCCCTCATCACGTCCGCCCTCCCCCCCCCTCATCTTCCCCCCCCTCATCTTCCCCCCTCCCTGCCCTCTCCTCAGCGTCCGCCCTTCTCGCCGGAGCCCCTGCGCCCGAACGCGTACGGTGGGGCGCGGGGATGATCGCGCCCCGGCCCGAGGGCCGCCGGAGATGGCTACGGCTAAGTCGGGCCTGTCCTTCTACAGGAGGAATGTTCAAAGATAGTGAAAAAATAGTCTGGGGACGATTTGTGAAGCATTCGTTGGTTGTTTTTGGGTGACTTGCTAGGTCTGTTTAATTTTTCGCCCAAAATCCCCGTGTCGGGGGACATGCCCGACCTAAGGCTACGGAGAGGAATGGGGACGACGCCCCGCAGGTAAGTGCTGTCCACAGCCGGCAGCAGCCGCTGTTTTGGCAGGCGGCGTGCACCCCGGATGACTGGCATCGATTCCGGTGCTGTCAGAAAAAAAGCGATTGTTGCCAGTCTTCGTCTCCTCCTCCACCTCCCCTCCCGAGTCCTCCCCTCCTCCTCCTCCTCCTCCTCCTTCTCCTCCTCCTCCTCCTGCTTCGCCTCCTCCTCCTCCTCCTCCTCCTCCTCCGCCTCCTCCTCCTCCTCATCGTCATCGTCATCGTCATCGTCATCGTCATCGTCATCGTCCTCCTCCTCCTCCTCCTCCTCCTCCTCCTCCTCCTCCTCATCGCCTCTTCTTACTTCATTACGTCCCAGGCCCCCCCGCTGGGCCGCGCACATGCCGCTGGTCATGATTTGCACCCCCCCCTCTTTGACGCCCCCCTCTTGGCCGCTCCCGAGTATCCATGTCGGTCCTCCCGATCCAGGGTAGGGGTGCGTATGCGGTGCAACTGCACCTTCCCAGGTCAGGCCCATCTTGGGCATGTGGTCAGGGGCGGCCTCACCGACCCCCAGCAGCCCGGCCCCGCTCCAAGGCGTGGGCGGGCTGTCAGAGGGGAGCCTCGACTCGAGGGCCTGAGGCTATCACGGAAGTTGTCGGTCAGGCCTTACATACCATTTTGGGGTTGTTTGGCCGAGATCGGTGTAGCTGTGCAGCTCGGTGGGGCAGCCTCATCTTCTTCGTGTTCGGGCGCTCCGCCCTGGAGTGCTCTCCGTTTGGAGTATCTCCTTGGATCACTGGACCATCGGCTAGGGGGCTCGTGTTCTTGACCTTCTCGTCTGTGGTCGTGCTTCCGACTGTATGGTTGGCGTCCTTCAGCTGGGGACTCGGCGCGTGAGCGCGAAGATGGACCCCACCTCGCGCCGCGCGACAGTGCGAGGCCGGGTGACCCAGGCGGGCTCAGTCCCCAGACATCCGCTGGTGTGCTTTGCTCAACCCGCGGCCACGGAGCTTCTCACCCGATCCGATTCATCTGCTGATCGATCCCATCCGAGCATGGATCCCGATCCGATCCAGACTGCAGGCCGGACTCGGGATCGCATCGTCGCAGTTGTCGATCCCAGATCAATGTGTGATGGTCCCGGGAGCCGAAAGGAGGCCTACGGAGGCGAAGTTCGAGAAGCACGCCCGGACATGGCCGATCACCGACCGATTGCCCATGTCGATCCGATCCCCACACTTTGGCTCCGACCTCGATCCGATCCGACACGAACTGATTCCCTCTTCGCATGGGGCCTAGCCTCGACCCGCGATCCCAAACGATCTCATCCCGGTCCGGTACTGCCGATTCTGGACCAGCCTTGTTTCGAGATCTTCGCGCTATGCCATTAACAGGTATGCGCCACTCTTGGATTAAAGTAAGGGAAGTATCCCCGACAAGTTTCACCATGACGCTCCGCCTCGGTCCAATTGTTCTCCACCCTTGCCTCCACCTAGTCGGAAACTGGGACATATACACTACCAGCGGCGGGTGTTTTTTCAATCCCATGATGTTTTGAGGGTCGGTGACGACGTCGGGGCGGTGTGGTGTATACTTGTCGTCCCCGTTTTCCCAGGGAAGCAACAACAAATGTATACACCAGGAGCCCGTATGCACCAGGATCCGCTTTCCTTTGCAAATTTCAGTGCAGGGCCGGACAAAACGTCGGTGCATAGAGTTCGTTTCACCTCCCTTGCCTCCACCTACTCTGGAATTCTTATTAAGCGTGGGGGGGTACCTCCCCGACTGGGGTCAGCCTCGCCTCGTCGTCGCGCCGCGACGGGGGTCGTTGAGCCTTTGGGCGCGCGGTAGCTGCCCACGACGGGGGTCGATGTGGGGCCGTCGGCGGGGGATGACGCCCCCCTGACGCCTATTTAGACACTCGGAGTACTCCAGATTCTACAGGCTTACGCCACATCCGCCGACCCCTTCTGTGACTGTTGCGAGGCCAGGAGTTTCTGGCCAGCGGCGTCTTGTGTGAGGGTGCGGTGTCGCGCGCGGGTGGTGGCAGATACGTGGGGGGGTCCAAATGTTTGCGTGATGCCGGTGGTCTGGGGCGTGTTTTGCGAGCGCCTTGCGTGCTGTGCACCCGGGTGCGGGGTGTCTTTCTGGGAGGTCGGCCTTTCGACCCTCAACCAAGTGGAGGAGCACCGGAAGACGAAAGGAGCAAGAGTAGCGTGCGGAAGCTGTGATCAGCGAAACATCACCGCGAAAGATGTGGCAGATGAGTCGAAACGGGTGAAGAGGCTGTTGACGTTTGCAGCGCGCGCGAAACAGTTCGCGTAGCAGCAGCACATTAGCGCCGAGCAAGATTGTGAGCACGTCGCGAGGAAGAGCAAGGCTGCATGCGCGGAGTGCATTGCAGTTGGCTTGACGGCTCGCAATGCGGAAGCGTCTGGGGGTCTTTTGGAGGCCTCCTGGGAGCCTGGTGGGGACTGCTTGGGGCGTCTTGGCGGCCTCTTGGGGGCCTCTGGCGGCCTCTTGGGGCACTCTCGTGGGGGCGGAAGGCTAGATTTTTGAATTATTTGTTGTCCTCTTGGGCCCCTCTTGGTGCCTTCGTGGGCCGTCGACAGTGGCGGCGACAGACTCGACGGCGTAGGCTGGGCACCTTTTTGGGGCCATCTTGGGGGCTTCGTTGACCGTTGTGGGAGCCTCTGGCGCCGTCGTCGTGAGAATCCTCTCGGGGGCCTGCGGGAGGCAGTTTGGAGGCTTCTGGGGAGCTGTTTTGGGGCAGCTTGGGGCTTTTTTTGGGCTTGTTGGGGGCCTCTTGGGGGCTTCTTGGAGCCTCTTGGAGGCCTCTTGGGGCCTCCTTGGCGCCTTTTGGGGCGGAAGGCTAGAATTTTAGGTTCGTGGTCCCCGTCTGGAGCCTTTCTTGGGCCCCTCTGTGGGCCCTCTTGGACTGTCTGAAGGCCCTCTTGAGCCGTTTTGAGGCGCTCTTGGGCCGTGTTGGGGCCCACTTGGGAGCCTCTCGGGTCGTCTTGATGCCGTCTTGGGGGCTTCTTTCGCCGTCTTGGAGCGTCGGAAGCCCGAAAAAACGCGAAGGCCAAAAACGTTGAAAAAACCAATGGAAATCGACGATTTTGGCCTCTTGGGGCCATCTTGGGAGGCGTCTTGGAAGCTTCTTGGGGCGTCTTGGAGGCATCTGGGGCCATCTGGAGGCCATCTTGACCGTCTTCGAGTGTTTTTTCGGCGACTCGGGGCCCTCTTGGACCGTCTGCAGAGCTTCTTGGGAGCCTCTTCGCTCGTTTGCGGCCCCCCCAGCAGACTCTCTGGAGCGGATGACCCCCCCCGGACCGCGCCGGCGGATCCCGGGGAATCCGGCCGGACCCCCCCCCCCCCCCCTCCAAAACGACCGGACCAGGCTCCGGGGGGAGGGGTTTGGGGAGGGGGGAAGCATCTCACACGCCGATGACCCCAAGGGGTCGGCGGATTTCGTAATAAAGGGAGGGGGGTCTCATTTCGGGGGGGGTCTCTTCCAGGCTATCTTGGGGGCCCTGGGGGGTCTGGGGACGATGTTTTGGAGGGTTCTCCCACGGGGGAGGTCTGAAATGGCTTGCCTTGGAGGGTCCAGACCCCCTCCCTTTTATCACGAAACCTGGAGGCATCGCTCACGGCTCCGGCGTGGCCCGATCCGTTGCCGAGCCGATCCGGCCTCGCGAGTGGCTCCAGCTCGGGCCCTGCCGGCCTCCACAGAATTCGGTCCCCCCCTTCGGAGGTCCAGCTCCGGCCTCGGGGGGGGGGGGGCGCGGTCGCCGCCCCGCCTCGGCAGGGGGGGCGAGGAGTGGCGGCAGTGTTGCGCTGCAGCTTCGAGGGGCCTCGCTCTCGTGCCCGCCGCGGGCTCGAGGCAGGCTCGACGCGGATGTGGCGAGGATCCCGAAGCGGAATCGGCACGGATTCGGCACGGACTCGACGAGTCCGACGTGCATTCGGCACGTATTCGACGCGGATAGGGCCGCGACGGGCCAGACAAGGTCCCCCGATGATGCAGCACAAAGGCAGTAGTGACAATGATTCGCTCTAAGGTTCCTCAGGCTTCCAGGGTGTCCTCCTGCTCCGCATGGGCTCCAGAAGCGAAGGGCTCTGGAGTCTCTGGAGTTCCTGGAGCGTGTCTCGTACAGCCCAGATGCCGAAAACGAGGACCGCTCTGGGCTCGGGAGGGGTTCGGGCGTTCGTGCCGCTCCTGAGCTCTACCTCGGGGAGCCTGCACCGCTCTGGGCTCGGGAGGGGTGCGGGCTTTCGGGCCTGGGCTCGGGAGGGGCTCGGGCTCTCGGGCCGCTCCCGAGAGATCCACCCTTCGGGGAGCCTGTTTTCGTGGCCGCGGCTCGCCGCTCTTCGATGCTTCGGCGAGGGAGGGCGCGACGTTTTCCCGCACCGAAGACAGCGATGGACGTCCTATAGGGTCTCGGGCCTGGATTTCCCGCGGAAGCTCTCCCGTGGCCGGGCCCTTACTCACCACCTACCAGACCACCCCAACCCAACCCGAAGGCCTCAATTTGCCCTCCGTTTCCAGTGGGGGGGGGGTCGGGGAACGTTGAAAAAACACATGGAACCCGTACCCCCCCCAACCCGAAATTCGGGTCAAATTCGGGTCTTCGGGTTGGGTTGGGGTGGTTTGGTAGGTAGTCACTTACTGTAGTTGGCACGATGGTGGTGCCTCCGTCCTCCGCAGGATGGCAGCGGCTCCCTCCGGTCGGGCCTCGGCGCCGTGGCCCTGCTGGCCGCGGCGGTCGCCGCCCTGGCCGCGGCGTGAGCGGCCGGTGGGAGCGGCGGGAGGGGGCAGACGCGCAGGTGCTGGTGCGCTTCGCCGCCTCGTCCCGTCCTCACCGCCTCTCGCCGCAGCCCTCCATGCGTGGCTCCGTGGCCCCCCGTTCCCCTCCTTCCCCTCCTTCCCCTCCTCCTCCTCTGTCCTCCTCCTCCTCCTCCTCCTCCTCCTCCTCCTCCTCCTCCTCTGTCCTCCTCTTCCTCCTTTGTCCTCCTCCTCCTCCTCCTCCTCCTCCTCCTCCTCCTCCTCCTCCTCCTCCTCCTCCTCCCCCTCTGCACCAACTGTTCCTCCTCCTCCTCCTCATCCTCATCTTCTTTGTCCTTTTGCCCATCGAATCTCTCGTTCTCTCGACCACTTCCTATTCCCCTCTCGTTCGTCCCTCCTCCCTCCTCTCTCGCTTTCCCACTTCTGTTTTGTCATCTGTTCTTTCGTTGCTCCTACATCCTCTGTCTTTTTGTTCCCCGTTTCTCCCTGCACCTTGCCCTCCGCTGTTCGATCTTGCGCTTCCCTGTGCCGGTGGAGAACCTAGGCACGCGGAGCGCGCACGTGTTCCTGGTACAATACGCGTGCATGTCTGTATACGTCTATATTCACAGACTTACGCAGGACGAAAGATGTTCCTCTTGAGGTGCAAATGGCGATGCTCAGTTGGAAGTTGATGACCGAACCCCCTTCCCCTGTTTAATCTTCACACGGGCGGGTTTTGGGGTCCGCGGATCCGATCTCTTCCGGTTCCCCGTTTAATTTTATAATCGGATCCGCCGTAAAGACCGAACACGGATCGATCAAATCCGAAATCGGATCCGCGTGGACGGGAATCGGATCCACCAAAGTAGACGCCAAAGCCACAATTGGATCCGCGCGAACTTCACGGGATCCGACGGCGGTTATCTCACGCGCGTTTGCTCAAGATTTCAAGCCGTCGTTTAGGGCCCAAGAGGGACAAACTTTCGTCCAGGGGATGTATGGTGTAAATTGCCTCTGGCTTGTGTCTCTCGGGCCGTCTTGAGGCCATCTTGTGCGTCCTGGAGCGCTGTTGGGCCGTCTCGTGCGCCTCTTGGACCGTCCTCCGGGTGGCCTCCTGGACCCCCTCCTGGCCCGTCTTGGGGCGGTCTGGGACTTTGGTGCCCCCGTATGCCCCCCTGCCTCAGCAGGTCCCCCCCGGCCTCCCCAGCAGAGCTGAAGCTCAGGTTGTAGCGTCCGCAGAGCTGAAACCTGAACATAGGTCACTAAAGACTCACTCGCCGGATCGGCTGATCTATGGACCGGAAGCCACATGCGAACCCTAGCCCACCAAGAGGAGGTGGAGTTGGAGTGGAGTTCGCTTCGCTCGGGAGGTCCCGAGCGAAGTTGACCCCGCCTCCGCCCTTTAGAAATCGTAGGGTGGTGGCCTCCTAGTAAATCTATGTGCGTATTTATACGTATATATACACATCTTTCTATCTATCTATCTGTCTGTCTGTCTGTCCGTCTGTCTGTCTGTCTGTCTGTCTGTCTGTCTGTCTGTCTGTCTGTCTGTCTGTCTATCTATCTATCTATCTATCGATCTCTCTCTCCATATATATATATATATGTATACACGCACATGTCGAAGACACACATCGGGGACCCATGCCTTTTGCCGTTCCCAGGGGTCCCGAGGCCGGTGGGGGGGGGCCCAGGCCGTCGGAGGCGGAGCCGGGAGGGAGCGCTGGGCCAGCAGGGCGTCGGGGAGGGGCTCGGGGCCGAGGGTGGTGCCCGGCCTTCGTTCGAGTGCAGTCGGCCCAGATTCAGCCACGCGCAGAGGGGGGTGGGGGGAGTAAAACAGGGATAGGATCGGGGGGGTAAATCGCTCCAGAGCGTTCCGGAGCGCTCTCAGAGCGTTCCGGAACGCTCTGGGAGCGGCCGCGGCGCCCCACTACATCCTCCAAACCCGCCGATTTCTCAGAGATTTCGATTTAGCCCTATCCGATTTTGTCCCGATCTTCGCGTCGTTTTTGTGATGCCCTGCCCTCGTCCGATGCGTCCGGCCCAGGTTCAGCCACGCGCAGAGGGGGGGTGGGGGGGGGAGGGGGAGTAAAACGACGCGAAGATCGTGACTAAATCGGATCGGGATAACTCGAAATCTCTGAGAATCGGCGGGTTTTAGGATGTGATCGGGCGCCGCGGCCGCTCCAGAGCGTTCCGGAACGCTTTGAGAGCGCTCCGGAACGCTCTGGAGCGATTTACCCCGATCCTGGCCCTGTTTTAGGTGGTGCCCTGCCCTCGTTCGAGTGCAGTCGGCCCAGATTCAGCCACGCGCAGAGGGGGGTGGGGGGAGGGTCAGAGCCCCGAATCATCAGGGGTAACTCGGGTCAGGGCTAACTCGGGTTCTTTTTTCGGGATTCCGAACCCGAGTTACCCCGGACCCGACGTACCCCGGAGAATTCGGGCGTCCAGAGCCCCGAATCATCAGGGGTAACTCGGGTCAGGGCTAACTCGGGTTCCTTTTTCGGGAATCCGAACCCGAGTTACCCCGGACCCGAGTTACCCCGGATAACTCGGGCGCCCAAGAGGGGGGAGGACTTCTTAGAAGCACCCCTGCTTCTTAGAAGGCGCGGGCCTTATCTATAGGTGTAATGCCGGTGCCTTCTAAGAAGCAGCCTCCTTCTAAGAAGCCCTCCCCCCTCCCTCCACCCCCTTGTGCGCGCCGCCAGCAGATTGGTAGGTCGACCCTGCCAAATCAATGGTACCCTTGTGTCCTGTGTCTCGCGACCCATGCTTCCTACATTCCTGTGGCAATGTGGCCCTCGGAAGGGTCTCCTGTCTTCTCGCGTGTCCTGTCCAATCGAGTCCGGGTGTAGGGGATCGACTACAGAATTAATCCACCCCGAGGTCATGAGTTTTCTCGTCGAACCGATGTAAGAATACCTTGAAGTCTCCGCATAGCTGCGAGCGTTCTACGCAGTCGTCGTAGACCCGATGGGGATAATCAATTTGGGGGTACATCAATGTTCTTTCGTCGAGCCTCTGCTCGACTCGTTGGCGGGAAGCCCTCGTCGCAGCGGCCTGGCTCGCCTCGGAGTGCTGGCCGGAACGCACCCCCGGGAGAGGCCGGGGAGTCGCGGTCTCACGGTGCGGTTTCTTCTCCGCGCGGCCCGCAGGCGGTGCCTGCGCGGACCTCTGGACCTCGACCCGAGAGCCTCGCCGATTCTTGCGGGGGTGCGTTGAGGAGGAGGAGGAGGAGGAGGAGGAGGAGGAGGAGGAGGAGTGAGGAGGAGAGAAAGAGGAGAGGGGGAGGAGAGGAGGAGGAAGGAGGAGGACGAGGAGGAGGAGGAGGTGGAGGAGGGGGAGGAGGAGGAGCATCACAAAAAACGGAGCAAGAGAGCGATCCGAGGCCCGCGTGCAAAAATAGTTCGGGGGTGGCCTTCGGTGGCGAGCAGCGCGAGCGGGTCCAGGCCTCGAGGTTGACACCAACACCAAGATCGGCGGCGTGCCTCCACCGAGGGAAGACGATCCCGATTTCGGTGATGGTGGTAATATTCTGGCTTTCGAGGGGACCGAACTATCACCGCCAACGCCGAAACCTAGGATCACCTTCCCCCTGTGGAGGCAACCCCCTGTGTTGGTGTTGGCGCCCAGTTCCAGGCCTCCAATCTTCGTCCTCCTCCTCGTTGTCATTCTTTGGTTCTGTTTTGGCACTCGGGCCCCCCCGTCGCCGAGGAGGAGGAGGAGGAGGAGGAGGAGGAGGAGGAGGAGGAGGCGGCACGACAGGGCAGGCGGAACCCCTGGAGGGGTCCAGGGACTGGTCCTGACCAGCTTCGGAGCGGGGGCGCGGCGAGGTGGGGCTCACGAGCTGGAGGTCCCTGGAGGTTCTCCGTCCTCCTCCTCCTCGTCCTCGTCCTCCTCCTTGTCCACATTCTCGCTCCCTCCTGCTCCTTCTTTCTCCTCCCGCTTCCCGCTTCCCTCCTCCCTCCTCCGTCCTCCGGCGTCTCCCTCCCTGCTCATCCTCCTCTCTCTCGCGCTCGCCCTCGTGCTAGTCCTCGTTTTCGTCCTCGTCCTCGTCCGGTGCGCCAGATGGGGACACGCCCGGCGCGCCCGGCGCATCGCCGGAAGTGGTTCCCGGGGTGCCCTCTAAGCATGAGAGGGCAATAACACTATAAATGACACGCCGCTGTGGGGAGCTGATCAGGTGTTACTGCTTCAGAACTATTTTGTCTCCAGATAGAAGCCGAGGGGACAGCAAGTTGACAGGCTCCCACTGGCGGCGTGTTATTGGTATTTCTTCCCCTCCGAAAGGAGGCGTCCTTCATCAATCTCAGAAGCCCTTTCTCCGAAGCCTACTCGGAAGGCTGTCGGCCCTTCTTGCAGGCCCCCCCTGGGCCCTCTTGGGAGCCCCCCCCTTTTCCCACGCCGCAATGGCCTCGACGGTCAGTTTCGACGGGAATCGAAGCAGTTCGCAGCATGCATCAGGCAGCGCACCTCCGCCGAGCGCGCCCGATGTCGCGCTGATGGCTCCTGTTGTGCGGTGAGGTGGCCCTCCCTTCTCGGCACATTCCGATCCCATTCCGTGCCCTCTCTGGCCGGCCACATCCGACGACTTGATTCCGATACTCCGGTGCGGCCCGATGTTTGCATGGCGCTGCTGTGCCTCTCGGCGCGGCCACATCCGACTCGATTCCGATTCTGCGGCGATGCGGCCCGATCAGCCGCACAGTCTGAATCGACCCGACTTCCCCATTTGATGGTGACCGATCCTGCCCCTCGCCAGGCGAAGCTCGGCCCCCGCGCCCCTCCCCGTGGCAACCTCTCTCAAGCAGTGGCGAAGCGTCCCGGCTCGCCTATAGGCCCACCAAAGGATGTTCTGAGAACCTCCTGTGGTTTGCACGACATGCTCTTAAAACATTGCTGGCTGAGTCCGTCTTGCACATGGGGCTTGTGTTCTAAGACCGTTGTCTTAGCTCTTAGAAGATTTCTGGGTTCCGAGAACATGCCGTGGTAGGCCTATAGGAATGCCGGGACGGTCGGTCCCTGCGCAACCCTCGGAGGACGGTCCGGGGGCCGTCTTGGGCGGGGGAGGTCCCGAGCACCGGGCCCGGCCTTCCCCCCTGGCGGAACAGGTGCATTCGTCGGCGAAGATTGAGGGCAGCCAAGAGGTGGCGCGACGGCTCAGTCGGGGGCGGCAAAGAGGGGGGTGGTGACTAGGGGGGGGCGATATCATGGCGAGGGCCATGATAGTTCCCCAGATTTCATGGCGCCTCTTCTTGTTTCCATACGTCCGCGCCTCCCCCCTGGGCCGCGCACATGCCGCCGGCCATGATTTGCGCCCCCTACCTCGTGGACGCCCCCCTCGTGGCCGCCCCCGACTTAGGGGGAGTCAGTCGATCGCAGACATGGATCATGGGGTCAAGGGGGCGTAAATCAGCGACGGGTCCCGTGTTTCTACGGGGAATCGCGGACTTCCGCCGCCGAGCGAGGTGGTGCCGGCGGCATTTTGGGGAGGGCACCTCCCCCAATCCATGGATTTGGCGGCCGCGCGCCAAATCCACGGGTCGCTAATCCATGTTTGCGCGCCCCCGAGCCTCGGTGGGCCCCTGGGCGGCCCCGAGGGCGGCCTTCCTGCGGCCTCTCGCGCCTGAAGCCAGGGTCCGCCTCGATCCGGGCGGTCCGAGTCGGTGGCGATTCCGGCCCGCCCGATCCGATTCGATGCCGATGCGCCGCCGATCGCTAATCCATGTGTGCGCATCCCAGGGGGAGGTATACAGTGCCGGTGTTTATACATGCTCCGCGTGCAGGATCTGCATCAACATGCGAGGACTTAGTATCAAAAACAACGATGAGTTCATGAATGAATGTATTCATAAATTAATCATGTATTCGAAATCGTATATATTTAAAACTCATATGTATTAAAAACTGCCCTATATATACATATATATATACATATAGATATATATTGTCGTGGCCACTGCCAGGAGATCTCCGCAGATTGCACGACGCCCCTCCCGGGGCCGCGCACGTGTCTCGGGCCACGAGCTGCGAGCCCCCCGCTGGGGCGCCCCCCCTCCGAGACGCCCCCGAGAATGTCAGGAGGGGAAAAAACACACAGACACAATTTATCCTCGACTCCCAGAACATGTCGGAAAACATGGGAAGTAGGGGGGAAGACGAAAACCAAACAAACATGAGAACATATGGGGAATAGTTTAATTTGTGTGTATTTATTTGTGTGTCCCTTGGCCCCTTCAGTTTGGCCTGCACGCCCCCGAGAATGTTCGGCTTGACGAGGCTACCCCCGAGCTCGCGGCAGCGCAGCACGCTCTGCGTGCCGGCGCCCGTTGGCATCAGGTCGGGCCTGTCCCCCTAGAGGGGGATTTTGGACGAAAGATAAAAAAGATAGCCCGACAATCTGCAAAAAGGCACAAGAATGGTCAAATCTTCGTCCCCAGAGTACTCTTTGGCTACTTTTGAGCATTCTCCCTGTAGAGGGGCATGCCCTGGACGAAAAATACCAGATAGCCCAACAATCTGCAAAAACTGCCCAGTGATGGTCAAAACTTCGTCCCCAGAGTACTCTTTGACTATTTTTGAAGATTCTCCCTGTGGAGGGGCATGCCCGACTTCACGCTGGCACGCAGAGGATCGGCGTGGCCGGCGCGTGCCCGGCACGCGGAGCGTGCTGCGCGACGGCGGTGGGCGTCGCCACGCTCAGTCAGAGCCCCGAATCATCAGGGGCTGCTCGGGTTAGGGTTAAGTCGGGCCTGTCCCCCTACAGGGGGATTTTCAACGAAAATTTAAACATACCCTGCAAATTACAAAAAAAAAATCCCAAAATAGTATGGTGATTATTTTTGGAGTATTTTTTGACTTGTTTGGTATATTTTTTGGGGTAGTGTCTATTTTTCGTCGAAAATCCCCCTGTAGGGGGACACGCCCGACATAAGGTCAGGGCTCGGGAGCCTTGCGACGGGGGTCGGTGCAGACGGGGGTCAGCCAGAGCGCCGGATCTTGCATGAAGTCGGGCCTGTCCTTCTACAGGGGGAACATTCAAAAATAGTAAAAAATAGTCGGGGGACGATTCTTTTCTGTTTTTGTTTCTGATGTTTGGAATAGTTGTGGGGTATGTTTTATTTGTCATCCAACATCCGCCTGTAGGGGGACGTGCCCGACCTAAATCTTGCAGGACCCTGCAGGGCCAGGGTCGCGTTGTCTCAGAGCCCCGAATCATCAGGGGTAACTCGGGTCAGGGATAACTCGGGTTCGTTCTCCGAGAATCCGAACCCGAGTTATCCCGGACCCGAGTTACCCCGGATAACTCGGGCGTCCAGAGCCCCGAATCATCAGGGGTAACTCGGGTCAGGGCTAACTCGGGTTCGTTTTTCGAGAATCCGAACCCGAGTTACCCCGGACCCGAGTTACCCCGGATAACTCGGGCGTCCAATTGTCTTGGGTTTGGGTGCAGGATCCTGCAGGATCTTGCAGGATCCTTCGGGTCGACCCGGGGTTGGGTGCAGGATCCAAGGGCTCCCCCGAGGGCGCGAAGTTATTCGCGCTTCGCGCTTCGCGGTCCTCGTTTCTCCTCCCCCTCCTCCTCGTCCTCCTTTTCTCCCTTTGGGGGGGCGGCGCGAGAGCGCGAAGTTATTCGCGCTTCGCGGAGCGCGAAGCGCGAAGTTGGGAGCCCTAGAGGATCTTGCAGGATCTTGCAGGATTCTGCAAGGTCTGTCTGACCCGGGTCTGGATTGACCCGCGTCAGAAGATCCCCGAAGGCCTAATTCGGGTTCGTGTTTCGGGATTCCGAGCCCGAGTTACCCCAGGCCCGAGTTGCCCCGGATGATTCGGGCGTCCAGAGCCCCGAATCATGAGGGGTAACTCGGGTCAGGGCTAACTCGGGTTCGGTTTTTGGGATTCCGAGCCCGAGTTACCTCAGGCCCGAGTTACCCCGGATGATTCGGGCGTCCAGAGCCCCAACTCATCAGGGGTAACTCAGGTCAGGGCTAACTCGGGTTCGTTATTCCGGATGCCGAGCCCGAGTTACCCCGGGCCCGAGTTGCCCTGGATAATTCGGGCGCCCAACTCAAGGTGCTGACACGATTGTTTCATAGTCCAAATGCATTCGCCGATGGCGCCGGAAGTTTAGCTGCTGCTAGAAACGCAGGGGGGCCCGTCTCTTCCTCGTTTTCAAGATCGACGCGGTTGTCGGTTTGTGGATCGGTTGTTGTTTCTGCTTGTTTTCTCGTTCGCGCAGTCTTCGGTTCGGTTCCGTTTCAAATTTCCGGTCTTGTTGTAGTCTTTTTTGTTTTGTTGTTTTTTGTGTGGTTGGCCGGAAATCCGAAACTATGTAAAGGGAAACAGCCCCCCCAGCATTTTAAACATCGGCTACGGCTGGAACAAGCTTCTGTCTCGAGTCTCCGACGACGTGGTTCTTTTCTCCCGCGGCCCCTTGGGTTCCTAGCCACTTCGAAGTGGGGATTTAACCATAACCAACGCCTTGGGGATCGATCTCCACGGACCTTCACAGGCGCGGGGTATGGAGAAATCGGGTATGGATAACTTCGGGTCCCCAGGGGCCAAAACATATCCACATCCATATCCATCCAGGACGTCGGTTCCCAGGCGGTGGATGTGGATCAATCCCTGCCTCGCATCACTTCCCCGGGGGCAGCTTCTCACTTGTCACACTGGGATCCGTTCGGATGCAACTCCTGGGAGGTCAAATTCTGATTTTGCCCTGGTCCGAAGTCCGGCTTAATCCGGTTTAATCTGGCTTAATGCCGCTCAATCCGGCTTAATCCCGCTTAATTCCGCTTAATCCGGCTAAATCCTGCTTAGTCCGAGGCCCACTCCGGCGCAACAGCTCCCAAATGGGGCTTAATCCTCCTTAATCTTTCCGACGAAAACCTCCCAGTAGTTGCCTCCTAAGATCCGATGCGCTCTTGTTGGTCTGGGGGCTCGACAGCTGGCGGCTGCAAGAGGGGCGGGTGCTCGGCCCAGGGGGAATCACTGCATGGCTCCCCGCGGCCTTCGACGAGGCCCCCCTGCGAAACTACGAGCCCCACTCATTCCTGGGGCATCTTCCCTTTTTTCCCGCCCGCCGAGAAAACGACTCCCAGGAGGCCCAAATCAGGTTTCGTGGACACCGGGATCGCCAACAACAACAACAACAACAAGAACAACAGCCAGAACAGCAACAATAACAACAGCCAGAACAACAACAACAACAACAACAGCAACACCAACACCAACACCAACACCAACACCAACACCAACACCAACAACAACAACAACAACACCACCAACAACACCACCACCACCAACAACAGCAACAGCAACAACAACAATCACAATAACAACACCAATCACAGCAACCACACCAACAATAACAATAGCAACAGCAACAACAACAACAGCAACATCATCAGCAACATACTCAGCAATCACAACAGCAACAACAACAACAACAACAACGACAACAACAACGCCAACAACACCAGCAGCAACAGCAAACCACAATCCGTTAGATGGGCGGCCCTGCGTCCTAGTCATCCGATCGTGTGATTTGTTCCATCCGCGCATCAGAGGTCTCGACAACGTCCCTGGCGGGCACTTGTTCGTCCGGAATCCGTTCTTGATGGCCCTGGGATTCGAGTGCGGGCCCCAGAAGCCGAAATCGAGGATTGAGGCATCCTCTGCAGGAGAAGATCCCGAGCAGCTTCACTCAGCTCACGATGGGGGGGGGCCACGATCGGGGGCCACGGTGGTGGACCGCGAGGGTGGGCCACGCTGGGCCGACGATCTCGGGGGCCCCGGCTCCCTCACCCGGCAATGTGTAAAGCTTATCGTCCTCGCGAGCTGACGACGACGACGACGACTGCGACGACGACGGCGGCGGCGACGACGACGACGACGGCGACGAGGACGAGAGACAATAAACCCGCGCGGACCTCTGAGTTTTTACGGTCTACGGCCAAGCAGCATCTTCGAAAGACGAGAGCCGCTCGGGCGTCGCGATATGGGGGGGGGGGCGATCAGTGGGCGGGCCGCGAGGGCTGCATAACAGGAGCCCGTTGAGGGCCTCTGAAGGGGCCCCTGCGGGCCCGCAAAGGGGCCCCTGCGGGCCCGCAAAGGGGCCCCTCCCCCCTTCCCGATGTATCGACCCCCCCCCATGAAGCGGCCACTTTTGCCCAGGGTCATTCTTACGTGTAGCCGATGTAAGAGTTGGAGCGGACGAGGAGGACGAGGAGGAGGAGGAGGAGGAGGAGGGGGAGGAGGAGGAGGAGGAGGGGGAGGAGGAGGAGGAGGAGGGAGGAGGAGGAGGAGGAGGAGGAGGAGGAGGAGGAGGCGGAGGAGGCCTGGGCTGGGGGCAGGCAGCTACAGATCTGCGCCTCGGGGGGCCCCAGCCGGAGTTATACCCCGGACCGCGCAGTTGTCCCGGAGAGCTGGGGCGTCCGACCCTCCCGAATCGCCAGGGTTGGGGGGCGGTCAGGGGTACCCATCGGTCGTTGAAAGTAGGTATTTTTGGATTTCCAGTTCCCAACCTACCATAGCCGCCTTCCTACTTCAAGAGTCGAGTGGTCTTCCCTCTCCCCTCCTCTTCCGGAGGCGGGCGGAAGCCCAATCTACTTCCAACGCCTTCCTGCTTCATGGTTCTACCTACTTCTTGCGACCGATGGGCAGGGGCATCTGCGCGCCTCGGGCACCCACACCAGAGTTGGCCCGGACCGCAGTGATCCCGGAGAACTCGGGCGCCCAGCGCAAGCTCCATGTCGCCGGATACTTTTACATTGGGCCTGTCCCCCTACACGGGGTCTTCGACGAAGAATGAAACAATAAACTTCAAACATGCACCAAAAAGGCCAGCAAATACTCAAAAAATAGTCCCCGGACTATTTCTGGACTATTTTTGGATTATTTGTGGGGTATGTTTTATCTTTCGTCGAACATCCCCCCTGTAGGGGGACAGGTCCGACTTAAGGATACTCGGGGTCCACGACGTCAGCCCCCGCCTCCTGGGCCCTGGCGGAGCCTGTCTTGCTGTGACACGTGGGGCTTATGGTCCAAGAGCCTTCTTTTTGTTCCTGGCACATTTTTGCGGTTCTGAGAACCTTTCGTGGCAGGACTACCCAGATGGTCTGGTACCGGAAATTTTCGGTAGCGATTTCGATGCACCCCGAATTTCGGTAGCGACCGGATCTTCGTTTGAGGGCGTTGAGATAGCGGGTTTCAGAACGCTCTGATACCGGTATTGGGCGCTACATTTCGGTATTTCGGTAGCGACCGATCTCTGCGGAGCGCTACCGGAAATTTTCGGTAGCGGACCATCAGGGGGACTATAGGAATGCCGGGACGGTCGGTCCCTGCTCAAACCTCGGGGTCCACGGAGTCGGCCCCCGCCTCCCGGGCCCTGCCCGGGGGCGGCCCGAGCGCGTCCCGCCCCGCCCGTGGCGCGGCCGCGCGAGAGGCGCTGTCGCCGGTCGTCCTCTTCTCGGACGCGCTGGACCGCCCGTGCGACGTGCCCCTGAGGGTGTGGACGATCGTCCTCGCGGCGCCCACTCCTCGTCCTCCTCCTCCTCCTCCTCCTCCTCCTCCTCCTCCTCCTCCTCCTCCTCCTCCTCCTCCTCCCTCTCCTCCTCCTCCTCCTGCTCCTCCTCCTCCCTCTCCATCATCCTTTCTCTTATAAGCAACTCCGCCCTGTCGGGCCTGTCGCAGCCCGAGACGTGTCGCTGGGGCGGGTGGGGCGTTTCGCTTGAGACCTCCTCCCTGTCTGATGGTCCTCGAGCTGAAAATGTGCAACGTTGTCACGGATGGAGGGCGGGTCGTTATCAACATTTCGCGTTCGCCGCGCACATTCGTCTTAATAGTTTCATGAGTTTCACTGATGTTTTGAAAATCTGGGACTCGCCCTACCCCGCACGTGTGTTTCAAACATTCGCAGGGGCTTCACTGATGGAGGGCGGACCGTTTTCAACATGCGGTTCTCGCTTAACTAAGCGTCGCGCACATTCGTCTTACACGTTTACAATAGCTTCATGGATGGAGGGCGGCTCCTTCTGAAAGTGTTTTCGCATGAGCGCCGCGCACATCCGCTTTAATCGTTTACGACAGTTCCAAGGGTGATTATGGCTGACGTCCCCCAAATGGTGTTCTGGCACGATGTAGGGTTGACAGGGTGCAACATTGACGTTGAGTCGCGGTGCTCAAGTCCGAGGAATGGTGTTCTGGCGCGATTCAGGATCGTCCGGACGCAGCGATAACGTTGATTCGAAGCGTTGCGGTCACAGGAATGGCGTTTTGGTGTTGTCCAGGAGTTGCAGACGGTTGTCTTCCAACGGGGCACTTCCGTGTGAAAGCAATTGTCTGTACGTAGGGTCCTATGAACAGGGAATTTGGAGGGATGCGTTGCTGCAATATCTTTGGTGCGTCTTGGGTTTTTACTGGTACTTCTCCTCCTCCGTTCCTCCACGCCCATCAGCTGTCCTTCAGAATAACTCTTCCGTGTCGCACCCCGAGGCCAGTCGGAAGGGCCGGCTGGGCGTTTCGCTCGAGATTTCTTTAATGTACGAGTTTGAATCTTCAACGCTGGCAACCGTTGCGCCGATGGAGGGCGGGTCGCTTCCAAAATGTGGCTCTCGCCTTGGTGCAGCGCGCACTCGCCTAACACAGTCGCACTAGCTTCACGGATTGAGGGCGGGTGTTTTTTAATGTGGCTCTCGCCGTGGCGCGGCGCACATTCGTTTGTAAGTGCGCACGAGTTTCACGGATTGAGGGCGGCTCTTTTTCAAATTGTGGTTCTCGCTTTAAGGCCGCGTGCATTCGTTGTACATGTTTACAAGAGTTTCGCGGATTGGGGGCGGGGCGTTTTCAACATGTGGTTCTCGTCGTAGCGCCGCGCGCATTCGTTTCGAATCTTTGCAAGAGTTTCATGGATTGAGGGCGGTTCCTGTTCATCATGTGGCTCTCGCCTTAGCGCCGCGCGCATTCGTTTCAAACAGTTGCCACAGTTTCATCGGTTCTCATGGTTCACCAACCAGACATGCTGTTGTGGAACGAGTTCGGATTGTCAGGGCGCATCAGTTAATTGCGTTGGTTGGCGGTGTTGAAGTGCCAGGGGTGGTGTTTTGCTGCGGTTCAGGATCGTCAAGACGCAGCAGTCTGGTTGACGCGTGGCGTTGAAGTCCTGAGAACGGTATGTTGACACGCGTCTGGATGCTTTTTTTGGTTGTCCCCCAACGGGGCGCTTTCCTCAGTGGAACTGAACCCTGGTAGGGGCCTGCGAAGGGGGAGCTTGGAGAGAGGGTGTTTCCCGCATCCTTGATGAGTCTTGGGTTTACACTGGTCCTCCTCCTCCTCCTCCTTCTCCTCCTCCTCCTCCTCCTTTCTCCTCCTTATCCTCCACCCCCCCCTACAGGTGGTACGTGTAGAGGTGGTACAGGTACTTCCAGGGGCAGGGGGCAGCACGAGCATTGTTTGTGCCATTCGCGGTGGTTTGGGGGGTCCGCGCTTGACCCCCTGTGACGGCGCCTCAGGCACCGCCCCTGGCGCGCGTCGTGCGCGAGAGGGGGGTCCAGCGGCGAGTCAAGAGATCCGCGCGGACATCCGCCCGTTACGTATACCTATTGCATCTCGTGGTCTCAAGGAGGCAGCCCTCAGTTTTGTCGTCACGAAGCGAACAGAGAGGGCAGGGTTTTCGTCGGCCTGGGCCTCTGGAGGTTGTTTGTACCTGGCTGGGCAGCGGGGCCAGTCCGACAGCGGCTCAGGGTGAAACGCCCGTCCACTGCGAGCGGTCGAGAGAGACCCGAGTACCCACGTCAGGACAACAAGTCCGTCACGCTGCAGTAGAGGAGGAGGAGGAGGAGGAGGAGGAGGAGGAGGAGGAGGAGGAGGACGAGGAGGAGGAGGACGAGGAGGAGGAAGAGGAGGAGGAGGATGGGGCAGGAAGGAGGGAGGAGGGATGAGCCAGGATGGGTTTACCCCAGACACATGTCTGGCACGCGTGAATGCTGCCTCCCGACGCGTCGCAGAGATCTGGGGGATCTCGGGAGGCCTTCTGGAGGTCCAAACTGTGCCTCCCGGAGATCGCCTCTCCCCCCCTTCCTCTGGAGGCCTCCTTCCTTCTCCATCCTCCCCTTCCCTCACCCCCCGTCCTCTCTCCCCCGCGTTCCCTTCCACCTCTCCCCCACTCTCTTGTTCCCCCTTCCCTTGTTAGTCTCCTCATCCCCCCCCGGGGGGGGGGGTCGGAGGATAAGAAGGAGGAGAAAGGAGGAGGAGGAGGAGGAGGAGGACCAGTGTAAACCCAAGAGCCATCATTGATTTTGGAATAAACCCTCCCTCCAAGCTCCCTCTTCAAAGGCCCCTACAACGGTTCATTTCCACAGACGGACCTGCTTCGTTGGAAGGCAACCGTTTGACGACCTTGAAACATGCCAAAACATGATTCTCGGCATTCCAACGCCACGGGTAAACTTAACTGTTGCATCTTGGCGATCCTGAATCGTGCCAAAACGCTACTCCTGGGACTTAGACACCGCGAATCATTATAACCATGGCGCCTGCATAATCGGGAATCTTTTCAAAACGCTATTTCTGGTACGTCGATCATGGGAATCCGTGAAACTCTGACGAATGTGCGCGTAGCTAAGACGAGAGCCACATTTGGGACAACCACCCGCCCTCAATATGTGAAACTCTTGCAACTGTTGAAAACGAATGTAAGGCGAGAGCACATTTTGAAAGCGACCCG